GGGGAGAGAATTGAGTTGAGATGGGGAAAAAATGTATGGTTTTAGTAACGTGGGTGAACGTAACTTTTTTGTGTGATATGCCTCTCTGTGACCTGTCTGTCTGTCTATTTCTCAATTTCCCTTCTCTCTCTGGTGTATAGTCAAACCTGTGTAAAACGGCCACCCACTGTCAAGTAGAAAAGTGGCTGTATAATACAGGTGGCCGTCTTACTAGTCTTAGGCAGGACTAATCAAAATTAAGAACGTTAGTTTTTCTCTTCTGAGGTCCAAACTGGGGCTGATCTCAGGCTTGAGACTGCTGTAAAGGCTGATTGAAAAGGCTTTTGTTGTTTTCTTATGAACAAGGGGGGTCGGTAATGTCGGAAGAGTTTTTTGTGATGTCCTTTTGTTTTTTGGTTAGCTTTCTTTTTGTTGCTGTTTATGTGCAAAGGTAGCCTGTCCCCGTGGTTTTATGCACCCCGCATAATTTAGGGCATAATTTCTGGATTATTTTCCTTTTTCATTCTTTGTTAAAATTTAAAAAATCGCATAATTTCATATTTTTGGACTCATTTTGCATAATTCCAGAATTGTTCTTGCATAAAACGACGGGGACAGGGTGACATAAACGAACTATTATTATTACTCTTGTAAGACAAGACGAGGAAGACTGACCGAGTGCAGTGGTAAAACAAAAACACGGATCACCACCACTCTGGAGTCGGAAAACGAGCGACGCTTTTGTCACAAGTTCACGTCAACGTTCACTCTTACTTTGCTACAGATTAGGCAAATAAAAACTGTGACCAGTCATCTCACCACTTACGATTTCTGCATGAGTTTTGGGCTCGGCTTATAAAATTTTTAGTTATACCTATAGGTTATGACGGATGACACTATTCCCTCACCGACAGTTGAACATTTATTTTTAGGTCTACCCATTTGTCAACTTGAATAAACATTAATTGGATTGAGGGACTAACAATAATGACAGGTGAATGAATAATGACGGCCTGTCCACAGCATGAGGGGCTGATTCAAAGTTTATGATAAGCCCACACCTCATGAAAATAATGTAGGCCTATGGAACGTAGGAATTCGTTTCTACTTTTAGTTTTAGTCCAACCAGAGTGAGAGAGCCCGAGACAGTCTCGGCCCGGGCAGTGAACGGGATAAAATCGACATTCTAGCTGCTCTTTCGTCTAGTATTTGACATTAAATGACCAGTGCTAGGAGGAGGAGTCGTTGACCCCGTGTCTGAAGGCCGATACTGTGAACACGTGAAATGGTAGAGGTTTAACGTCCCTATTAACACTGACTTGAAATAACATAAAGAGGCTAGCCCAGGATAGAGAAAGGTGGAAAGTGTTGGTCCGTGGCTATACCCTGGTGCAGGGTGAGAAAGACAATGCTGATGATAATTAACACTGTTAGTTTATTTATTTTAAGTGGCAGGGGCCTATACACGTATTGAGGCAATGTGAGGTTTTAACTGTGCTGCGTGAAATATACCAAAGCGTCTGGTCATCAATCTTCTGACTAGAACTGTTGATAAGATGACCTCTATGTGTTTACAAAAATATCAAACAAAACCCCAAACAAACCCAAACTAATGTTGTTGAGAAAGTCAGGGCAAGTTTTTTTTCCTTCTCAATATTACAGAAACAAACAATCCCAGAAATCTACAGTTTTGTTTTTGATATCCTCCGAGGGCAGGGCCTTGGTATGGCATATGTTGGTAAACATCTTACAAATGGAAGTGGGTTTCCGAGCTCAGTTGTATTGAGGGAAGGTTAAAGAACTCCACAATCTATCTGTCCCCGTCGTTTTATGCAAGAAACATTCTGAAATTATGCAAAATGTAAACTGAGTCCAAAAATGTGAAAGGAAATTATGGGATTCTGTTAATTTTAACAAAGAATGATAAAGGAAAATAATTTTTAAAAATATGCGAAAAATGATCAAATTTTGCTCAATTATTTGAATTATGCTGGGTGCATAAAACCACGGGGACTGATCAATGGTGCCTGCCCAGTAGTAGGCTACGTTGAATCGACTTTTTCTCAAATCCTGGCCTCCTGATCTCTCGGGTTCATGGACAGAGCGTTTCAATGTGAACACAAATCCCCGGTTAATCGGCTCAGAATAATATGATCAATAACCTACATGAAATGACACAGACATGGATTATAATTCAGCGCTCTTTCTTCACACCTGTGTTAGTGTTACGGATTATTGCTGCCGAATTACGTCATCGGTGTGCCGGAGCTTTGGGCTCATGGGTCTAACATTCATCATTTCTCACGCTTGTGTTCCTCTGTGCGTGTAATAAACAACGAAACAATCTGTCCCCGTGGTTTTATACACCCCGTATAATTTAGCAATATTTGATCATTTTTTTGCATAATTTCTTATAAAACTTATTATTTTATTTTCCTTTATCATTCTTTGTTAAAATTAACAGAATCGCATAATTTCACATTTTTGGCTCAGTTGCATAATTTCAGAATTTTCCTTTCTTAAACGGGGAAAGGTAAGTTACGTACCCTCCCGCCAAAAAAAAAACCACTTCTGAATTCAAAGATTGTGAATCTTTACTTTCCCGATCAGCATTGTTCGGTGTTAGTCAGTTGACGACAGCATCGTAAATTGGATGGTAGGCAGCTGGTATGACCTCTTCTTACAGCGTATGGACATGTTGATATTTCTCCTTTCTTATTTTCCTGGTGCAACAAGTGTGAAGTAGACATCACCCCCTTCCGACCCTCGCCATCACCTGCAGTGAAGTCTTAGGCATACTGTCAGAGATAATGGACAAGTAGACCCCCCTCCC